ATTGTTATACATGTAATTATGCTTCAGACTGAAATTTCACCTTCTGGACCGAGGTCAAAACTGCCTTTAACCAACCAGCTAATTATATAAACAAGCATATATGAGATTACAGATTCTCATAGCAGTGAAGATGGGTTTTAACTCCGTGTGAGATTATAGGTACAGACCAACTACTTATTAAACGAAGACGAATTTCCGAGACTTCTGTTCACATCTCCTGTTAACCTTCTCAGCAAGGTACAGTGTGACATGTGACCTCATTTTAATTTGTATTTATTTATGATTTATGTATTTTGAACTTAAAGGACCTTATTATTCTTAAAATTTGACCTCGTGCACTGTGTTACGAGAAACGGAATTCGCTTCAAGAGAGGAGTAAAGGATTTAAAAAGAATATTACGTGTATTACAGGCAATTCAGAAAGAACTTCAGACCACAGAAGAAAATGGTGTGGACGTGCTGAAAGAATGAAGCAAAATTTTATACCTAATGGGCTTCTGAATCGTGGTCGACGAGAATAGAAATCGTTGGGAGACCTAGAAAAAGTTGAACTGGCCAAAACAGATTTTAGTGGAGATTAAATTTGGTTTACATAGACTGAAGGAAATACTCCCCAACATTCTCGAGTCACTTATCGTGTAAATAAATTTAAATGTGGAAGATGAAATTTGCATTTTACCAAAGCTTTACATCAATGAACCCGATCCCAGATTTAAAAGAAAGTTGTGCTTTCTATTGTGTACAAATAAGTTTCGTAATTAGTGTCCCAAAATACGGTTCAGATCCTTGAATGGGCCTGTAGATTAATGAATGCCAGTTTCCTAGTATTATTGAAACAATTTGGTTTCTGGACACTATAGCTTCAGTGCCTTCTTAACACGAAAGAGGTAGTAAGCGAACTATGTTTCTCAAGAGGGGGTGGTAAAGGAAAGAGGAATTTCTACCGGACGATCTACTGCTGTATTGTAACATACGTACGGTGGAAGGTTTAAATGGGTTAGACGCCAAGCCTCGATTTGCTTTGTAGAGACATACAACTCGAAATTTAGAGAAGACTAGGTATCTAGCCATTCAATATCTGTAATTTTTCTGTCTCTGATTCCTTTTGATGAAAGTATAGGCCTGTTACATCAAGTTTTAACCTTTTCAGATAATATGCATTATGTTGATAATTCATTGTCATTCTTACATTTAGTTCTCTGTAGCCTATGTAGTTGGGATAACGTTGTATAAATTAAGAAACATATTTTTTACGTTCTCGTGTTCTTCCTGTTGAAATCTATGTTCGTCTTGAAAATAGCACTCATCCGAGTGGTATAGTTTCATGTGCTGCAGAGTATACAGTTACAAAATAACACAAGGCAAGAGGGAGAGAGCTGCCAAGACGCAAAACTGTGTATTGCAGGCTGTGAGTGTGAGGCGATTTAAGTTAATGTTCCCTCATCTTTGTTATAATCCGACTAGCACCAGTCGCATTTTTGTAGCGCGGTGTTGTTCCCTTCGCCTCACCTCCTGACTTTGACCGTTCCATCATTCTACCGACGTCGAAGACTGATTATCAAGCACAAATAACTTGTGGTTAGATTGCCTCTGTCACATTCTCCTCGTCTGATTCAATTATCGAAGTAAGCATAATATACAGACAAACAAATCTCAAAAGGGCTCACTTTAAAATACAGCACGGTACTTCTCTCAATAGGGTCATTGCATTTTTAATGAAGTTGATTTGTATATTTAAGATTTTTTAATTTTTTCTGGTGAATGTAGTGGTAGTGTCGTGAGAAAACTCCGATCGTGTGTCCTATCCTTCCCAAATATGCATTCCCCACCCTGCAGACATTTATTTATATGCGTATAAAAGTTACCTATTCGGTTGTTGCAGCTTACTTAAAGAACCTGCACCTTGTTTCAGAGTATTGAACTCAGCTCCATAGAGGATAGATCTGCTTTCATTCAGTGCATCCCCGGTTTCATTCTCCGCCTGCAGATGGTTACCTTAGTTATTCATGGTTTTTCTGTTACTTTACATTCAAATATGGTCGGGATCACGTTTTTTCAAATTTAAAATTTACATTTAGATCTAATTTCCGGTTTGAAATCAACATATTTGGTGCTGTTAAATACACTACATGAACCTTTTATGGATATATTTGAACTTGATATGATTAAGTAAAGCGTTGGTAACAAGGAACGAGCGAAATTTGATATTACTTTTGTGCATTCCGGTCTACATAGTAACATGAGCGAAGCCGTAACCATCCAAGCAGCATTCCGTACTACTGCGACATCTCTCGGGCAATATGTAGTCTATCGGTAAATAGTTCACTATATTGCCGTCAGGGCGAGACTGTGTGCTGGTATCTATGCCAGATGTAGCGACACCATTTCGATAAAGCTCGCTCCAGAAACTTGACTGTACGTTCTTCGTCCATTTAATTTGACAAAAAGAGAAACAAGCTTACCGAATAATAAAGGAAATTAGAAGAAGACGAGATATATAACAAACTAGATATCGTTCTTTCTCCTGGAATAGTCGCAAAAACTTGTTTCCCCTTGTTTTTAATAAATTATAAACAAAAAGAATATTAAAATGCCGCTAGCATAAAAGTTGTTTATTTATGAGAATAGAATGAACTAAAATAATTAAATATCCACATTTAATCTTTTGTGCGTCTATTGAAAATTAAAGTTCATATCATTTCTTCAGGAAAAAAACACTCAAACTTTGTCTCTCTTTTTCTCTGCTACTGTTGCTGCATCATATAGTGTCCTGGAGACTGACTTACGTTCAGAGGTTCTTACTGCCTTCATCATCAGGATCGCTGTGGTAATGGATGCAGTAAACACCTCTGAAACGTCGGTCAATTTCTACCAGATTATACTACGCAACATTTTAGAAGACAGTCATCTTTAACAGAGTTCCGTGTACTTAAATCAAGTTTAAGTTCCGCGTTATGAAGGGCCTAAATTAATTTTTCATACTGACATATCTTTAGAATCCATACATACGTATTAATGATGATAAATTGTCTATATGAGCTTTTCCACAGGTGAATTAAATCACTTTCAGGTTCTTTTCAGGTCCATTTTATTACAGAGTGTAAACTATATTTTGGGTCATAAATAAGTAGGCCCGTTAACCTAGGAGGTGAATGTCTTGAAGGAAAGCTATAGGGATCCGTATCTGTTTCTTTGTTCAGCGTGCTTTAGCTTGGCATGGATTTTCCTTTCTTTCTTTCTTTAGCGTGGCTTGACGCTGCTTCATGTGGTTTGGAGTGACTGCAGTTGGCTCTACTTCTCCTGCCTTAGCTTGGCCTTGCGTTTTCTTGTGTGGTTTCTCTTCGCGTGCCTTCGCATCGCGTATCTTGGCGTTGCATGTTTTTATTCAAGGCGTCGTTTGTGCGTCGTCACGAGGATCTGCATCGCGTGACTAGCTTCCGGGTTCCTTTACGTCGAGTTGCTCTGCGTCGCCGCAAACTGATTTCGAGATCACTAATGCAAGTGCGCCAACTGCAGCGTTGTCCAACTGACTATCGTCCTGTCACATAGCTAATGAATAATCGGAACCAAACTATTTAATTACACCCCAAGGGTTTTTTTTCATGTATTTAATGATGAGTCAGTTCCTGTTTGAGTTATGAATATATAATCACTGGGACCTAAACACTAGACGAGATTAAGAGAAATGAACATTAGGCCTAAACCTTAAGTAGGCCTACTGGCTTAACGCACACTAGACTGATTGACCTCGTTTCATTGTAGCTGCAGGCTTATTCAGTTTTGTTCTCCACAAAATTAGACTAAATAACATGTTGCACCCTTCTCAATTGAGATGTAAATGTAAAATAAAATTGTACTCTATTTTTGGTACATCCGAACCGTAGTTTTCTGCGTGCACAATTCCGGTGGTTGAACTTAATATCCTGGCCCGGAAATGATTTTTTAAAGTGCCTAGAAGTGGAAGATTTTCTTCTCCGTATTCTTCCTGGGTCACGTGACAGGGTTAGGGACCGGAAATTGCCCTCGACAGAGCAAGAGGAAGGGGTGAAAGGGGGCGACTCTGCCTACCCTTGCTACTTGCCATTTCAACTCACGTAACTTTCAAGATTCCAAAACACTGTTCCTCTCGAACTCCTTTCTTTCTGTTTCTCATTGTTGATGTTGTGTTTTCTATTATTTAAAAAGTTATTTCACCTTGTTCTCATACTTATATTCCTCCACTACATAATGATATTCCATGCAAGATCTATCAGTGGAAGTTTCATTATAATTTGTCACCAATACTATAGCACTCCTCGCTGCTTTTGTTCTCAAATAAATACAATATTGTACATAAATACACAATTAATTATCAATTATTCACTGTGTTTAGAAAGAACTAAGTTTATATTGTACTCAAAATAGGTTTATTAGCGAAATATTATTACAATAAGTAATTATCTGCACATGGACTCAATATACATAAGTTTAATATATATATGTGTTTGTGAATACAGGTTATTTTTTATGTATGAAATTTTCACATGCAGGAACATTATTAATCGACTTTAGTAAGTAAAATAAAAATAACACTGGAATTTACGGACATGCGCAAATTGGTCCGCGGACCACCTGGTTCACGCCGTCACCAATAGATGGTGCGGAATATCATACATCGAAAACGACTTCAGTTGTCTTTGCTTCCTACTGACTTTCTAGATAAATATTGTCCATATTTTATCCAACATATTTGAATTCATTTAAATAGAATTGTTTTTTATTTTATGTTTTGAATTAATTAAATTTAATTATTTGCAGTTCATAAGTTGTGGTGCATTTGGTTTGCAGATTTAATTTCCAGGCAGGTTGTCTAGATATTTGTTTACTAGAGAAAAACGTAATATTTTATTTAATTTTTATATTGGTGTGTTTTATGAAATAAGATTAGATTTTTACAACACAGTGAAATTATACGAAAATATTCTTTATCCCTATGTTTGGACTCGTTGGTGTCGAAACGAGTTATGTGATTGGCTAACGAAATTTGCTTCAAAATGGCGTGAGGAAGTTTGTGTGTGTTTTCTATAATCCATTTTAATTTGATTCTCAGAATGAGGATCTTTGATTTTATACCCATGTGTGATATGATATTGCAGGTAAATATATGCTATATTATGTTCATTTAGTAGCTTGCGTTCTACGTCAGTAAGAAACTTGTTAAGTGTGTGAAGAAATGAGGGGATTGTCCATGTCTCGCAAAAATACGTCCGAATTTTTAGTTTTGTCGAGCATGTTTCACTTAATTTCTAATAACATGAACAAGCAAATGAATTTTCACCTGTCGTATTAACCTATTTCAGTGAAGGAAATCCCAGAAGTTCCACAATGCAGTCTCCCTAAATTATCATTTAAATGTACGTATAAGGTTAGATGATTTTTGTATACCCAAGTGATGATCCTGGTATCTTATTGGTCAGAACTTCTTTGTCCCACCCAGGTTTTTCATAGGCAAGTGGTTAACATTCTAATTGGTCGCTTATAATTTACAATTGTGCATTCCATTATGTAATTTCTGCAGTATGTTGACAGTATGGGAGAAGCATCAGTGAAGACTTTGGTATTACAAGTGTTGGATGGAGTCATTTCAGCCATGTTCTGAGTTTTGTGTCATCAAATATTCCATCCTTTCTGCACACCAACTATGGAGATCCTGTAGGATTTGAGGTTTTCACAGCAGTGAGTATGAAGATTTTAATTTTAAAATTTTGTGTTGCAGTAGAATAGAATTTATTTACATTCCGTAGATCCTTCATTGGCCCAAGCAGATGATGTAGAACATGTCATAGCACAAATACAAAACTTGTATACAAGACAAATGTAAATTACATGGTTATGACATTAATTTACAGTCTTACCACAAAAATTGTTATACAAGAATGCATAGCCACTATTGCTTACATGTATTTATATGCAATCTGTTCAAGCAATACTAGGCAGATCATCATCTATGATTTATTAAGGCTTTATGTGACCATTGCTTTGTGTTGATGATGCTGCAGGTACTTCTGAGAGAAAATTGCTCTTCAGATTACTGGTGTATGCAAGAAGGTGATCCCCTGTCCATAATCTGAAAGAAGCCCAACCTCAGACTGAATTAGGAGGATCCATGAAGTTTTGATGATCACCGCATACAAACCGCAAGGAACCCCTGCATGTGTCATGGGTAATGTGTAGAAATTAATAATCAAGAGGCTGTCTTATGTTTGCATTTTAATAATTGACAGCCGTGAAGGTTTTCAGGTGTGTCCATTTTGAAGAAAGAGTTTAAAACACCACATGCTGGTTTTTTTGACACCTGTGTCACCTGGCATGGCACACTACGTTCTTACGTTATGAGTGGAGAAATGTCTTGACCTCTTAACATAAAAAGAAACTATTCCAGATGACCTCAGACTTTGCAGTCTTTGACATTACGAGCTTCGCAATTTATATTTTTTGTTGTTGAATATTATCACGGTGATTAATCAGGTTTGAGATGGTACGACCTGTGATGTGTACCACTGTTATAATGAGGATCTTTTTGGGGTTTGGGTAATTTGTTCTTTTTATAATTTTGATTTATTTCAGGTCAGGGTTCAGCTTATGGAGGGTGCCTATAACCTTTGTAGCTAAAAAATGGCATAACGGATTTGACTCCTCCCTCCATCCATCCAATGGCTCTACAGCCCATATCAGGCCTTGACCTCAATTTTATGCCTCCATGATGATCTATTATTTGCAGCCATTTTCCAATTTCGACATCGGATCAGACCGGCAGCATCTCATCTCACAGCATCTTCCCATCTTCCTCTAGGTCTTCCCACCATTTTTGTCCCTTCAAACTTAGCATTTAGGACTTTCTTAGGGGTTCTTGTGCCATCCATCCTTTGAATATGCCCCGCCCATTGCAGTCTTTTTAATTTAATGCATGTTACGAGATCGGGGTCTTTATATAGCGCGTATAACTCCTGGTTATATATCGCCCTCCACTGGTCATTGTCTTTAACTGGGCCACAAATCCTTTGTAGTATTTTTCTTTCACACACTCTCAAGGCATTTTCTAATTTCTGGGACAGCACCCAGTTTTCACAGCCATACATGAGGACAGTGCGAATTAAGGTTTTATACAGCAGTATCTTCGTTTCCCTGTGTATATCTCCACTTTTCATCACTGCCTTATTGGCCAACATTAGCGTTCTTTGGATCTCTCTATATTCTTCATTATTACTGGTAATGCATGTGCCCAAGTTCCACCCCCTCAATATTATGATCTTGGATTACCAATTGTTCGTCTACTCTATTCTGCTTACGCGTTTTGGAACAAGGCTTTAGTCTTATTTTCGTTGATAGTTAATCCAATTTCATCGGCACTGATTCTCATGATTTCAAAAAGGTCCTTCACAGATTTTAATGACCTGCCAAGGAAACGTGTATGATCTGCGTATCCGACTATTTGGCACATCTTAAATTCAAGAGTTCCGTCGACATCTGTAGGCAGCTTTCTAAATTAAACAGTATTGGGGCTAGTCCATCACCTTGTTCAATCTTGAAAGGACTTGCGAGATCTACTTGTATCTTCACATGTGCATCAGTGTGAGTCGTAGTTGCTCTAACGAGCCATATCAGTTTGGGGGTTATACCAAATTCATGCGTAATAGAATAGTTTATTCCCCTTCTTCACTTCTTCTATGGCTCTCCGGTCCGTATTCGGTCCACAGACTCCTTAATTCTCCTCTTCCATTCGGTCCGTCTGTCCGAGGCTTTGATTGAGGTTTCGAAACATCTTCCTTTTTACGGTGCAAGGTTGTTGGTCTTGCGACCAACCCCCAACCTGGAGGACCAGGGTACCAGTCCGACCTCTCCCCCTAGGGAGGTCCTACCACTAGCTCTTGGGGTCACCGAGGTACTCAAGCCGCACCACCACGACAAGGTGCAGGTACCTTTAAGTGGGGGGACTGTGACTCAAGCTTAATTCTTCCTTGTAATTCACTATTTTCAGCGACTTTACTACATTTGGCGCTAGACCAAGTGTTTAAACTGACTGACGGTCTGCTGAATGCCATGAATACCGTAGATATAATTTATTCTTCACATTCAGAATTGATTTTAATAAAATTCTGAGCCTTGTCATTCCGTTCAGTCGTGTCACGTACAGTGTCAGTCGACAGATTCGAATAGTTTTAGAACAAGAATCTGATGTTTGGTTTTCGGTGATAACGTGCTCGATTAACGGTTGCCCAGGAAATTGGGGAAGGGACGAAGTGTGTGCGGACAGGTGTCTATCTATCTATCTATCTAGCGTACAAATATACTATTCAAAACAACAAAGAGCAAGGGGTTTTAAAAAAAATAGCCATCGCCTACTAGAGTTTGCAGTAATTTTCTTGATTTATCGAACAACGTATGAAACTTGAAACCTCCAGTTGGCCAGTACCCCACTATATGGTACCTGTGCCTTGTCGTGGTGGTGGGGCTTGAGCACCTCAGTGACTTGAGTGGGATTCGAACCCACGGTCCCAGCGACCAAGCGGCACAAGGCCCACGCCTCAGACCGCGCGGCCACTACAGACCCCTACTGGCTTAAAAATAAGTAAAAAAAATATTAGCTTAATTATTTTTAAGAAATAATATTTTTAGCTTCAGTAAGATAATAAATTGTGTCGCAAGGAGTTATTGCTGCGTCTTGTATACTGTGTGTGGTGATTAGAACTAAAGTGGTGTAAGTCGACAAAGGAATAGAAGGAATATTTTAAACGTGTGTTTTTAATTTATTCACTGTAATCAATGAAAATATAATTGTCCTACAGGGAAAACAATTTCCTAGCAAGCGGAACATTTGATTTTTACAAGAATTCAGCTCTGAGTTCATATGTATCTGTATATATGTATATATGTGCTAAAATGTATTAGAGAGTATATGAGTGCGTGTGTATATATAAATAAAGAATTCCCCTGTGTGCGTGATATTCTAGCTTCACTGGAGGAAAAAAATTGCAAAACAGTGGACTCTGTTGTAACCTAACCTCCACATCAAATTCCATCTAAATCTGTCCAGTAGTTCTAAAGGTAAACGACTGGACTGATGGACACGATCAGCACATAATTCTTTCTCCAGGAGGACGTGGCATAGTTAATCCTGATTGAGGGTTTTTGCCAGCCACTCCAGGCAACCACAGGATAATATCTTAAATTAGGACAGGACCCCTTCCTTTCAGATCCTTTCCAATTCATTGTACAGTAATTATCGTATCATTTGGCTGTATGCTTTGAGCTAGTGACAGCATAAAATAAAGTATAAATAACAACATAAATTGATGAATACGATAGAAGTATCAGCTATTCTGTCATAAGAATAAATAGAGTCGTATGATTGACGTGGAGTGTACCAGATCAAATGACTTACTCTTTCCTTGTGCTACGTCGGCAGAATACTGCGGGCTGTGCTGTTTTATACAACAAAGAGACGCTTGCAATTCGACCCAGTAGACGAATTCTGAATTTGCTTTATATGACCTTGGTACATCGCACACGTGCACTTTAAAAGTATGTCTCATTGCAAAAGTGTTATCTGTTCAAACACTAGAGGAAAATTATATAAACAGTAAAATATGCATTGAATGAAATGCACGCTGACCGATTTAACTTTTTGTTTGACTACCTTGACGTTGCACATAAGTCTACCGACAGCAGACAGCAGCACTGTCTGTCTGCCTATCTACGACCCTACTACAAACTAAGTTATCAAAGTACTCTGTTCCGGTCAACGTCGCCTTCGTACGCCGTCATAGAGGATAATCTGTAAGCACGTTTATAAAACATTTATGTCGTGTTCAATTACTGATAATATAAACATTTCCTTTGTGTTTTATTGAAAAAGTGCGTAATTACTTTCATACATCTTTATTTCTGATCTTACACATTATTGTACGTAACTTGACCGTCGTTTCGCTGCTGTAGCACTGCTATGGTGTTATTATTTTCTTGTGTTTAAGATTCATTTTTATAGTGATGTATGTATTTTGAATTATGTGAAGTTCGTTAATACACTTCTTCATAAGTTACGTCATAGCGCAATTAGTTAAAATGCTTCATTTGTTCTGTCTGTTGGTCGTCTCTAACAAGTTTTCTTTTGTTTGGGAATTTAACACAGAATGCCGTTGCTCTTGTCTTCAAATGGACGCTTTCAAATTACACGTTTAACATATTTTGTTTGATATAAATTTTCTATAATTTGTCATTGTCAGTTACCTTCTAATTTGCGAAAAGTAATGCATGAAGGGTAGTAGAAGAAGATGGCTGTCTTCTGAGTTGTTACGCCGTGTAGTCTGGTAGAAGTTTACCGACGTTTCGGAGGTATTTGCTACCTCAATCGTCATTATCATCGCCCTGATGATGGATAATAATAATAATAATAATAATGATAACAACGTCGACGACAACAACAATACACAGTCCAAAGTGTTAGCGTATGAAACATCAATATTAGCTTACATTTCAAAATTTCTTACGTAAATAACTATGCCTTTATATTTAATTAAATAAAAGTTACATACAACTTGTGCAGAGCAGGTAACTTGTAAAAATAATTATTTTTAACACGCCTGAATTATCGAAGTCTTGGGTAAGCGCACAACTTAGCAAGGTCCATGCCAATTCTATACGATGTAGGCATATATTTAACTTCCGGAACTTGGCAAATCGATTTCGCCCTTGTTCTGTTATTAAAATGATCTGAAATGATGATAATTACATTACTTAATTGATCCGTTTTCGGAAAATGATTTTACCAACAATGTTTACGTGTGAATTGATTTTAATAAGGTGTAGGTACTCTCCACCGGTCAAGAGAAGTTTTTTTGCCCGGGGGGGGGGGGGAGAGAGACGATTTACTACCAGGTGGACTAGAGGGCTGCTATTGGTGGGAAGTATGACACGCCACACAGTTAAACTACTACACAAAGACGGAAAAACTTCAAGCAGTTGAGATTAGCGTGTAGTGAGTGCACCTGCACTGTGTTCTGTGGGTGTTGTGATAATATTCTAGATTAAATCACTGTGCCGCTGTGAGGTAATCTTAAAGTTATACCCATTAGAACACATGAAAGCATATTGTTTGTTGTTCGTTCAGTGGTTGTGGAACGAATGCTTTTAGGATGGATCGGCACTCACCATAAAATCTTGCGCATGCGCGTATATCGAATTCCTAGCAGGGATATTCTGCTTTTCGGTTATATGTATATGAATAACAATTTGATGATGACAGACTTTAGATGAAATACGTTTAAGAACTCGTGTATGTTTGACTGACAATTATTTTATATACAGCACATTTTATCTGTACCAAGGATATTCTCTAGACTTAATCAGATATCCCTTATACTGGCGTAAATAAAGTCTACGTTAGTACTGAAAGTCTCCTCGATAAGTGTTGTTTGCAGCTGACAAACTAGTTTGTAATTGTATTTAGTTTGAGGCTGAAGTGCTTGCACGTTCTGTGAAAAACATTTTCCACCACGGAACACTGAAATGAAAGCAACAATCAAAAACACGTTTTGAAAAGTGTCTGTCAGGTTACGTTTGTGGTGAAAGAACTAGGAAGGAGGAAAAATGAGACGCATTTTAAATAAATGGTTAGTAAAGTCCCCCCTCTCCTCAAAAAATAAAAGCCATCCCTTAACGGTGATGATATAGCTACCATTTCATCACGTTCAACATTCGTTAACAGTTGAGTCTAACAGATTTTTTTTTTTGGCGTGGTTTGTGTCTGACATGTTGTTTATTTGTGGGCTGGAAAATGTACTAATTTGATGTCTTTTGTTGAACATGACGGAAACCATACTGCACCACTTGACTAGTATGGGAGACGCCTGGGAGGTGATAGCACGTCTGTCTGCCTGTCTGTCTTGTGTCTCTTCTCTTCTCTTCTCTTCTTCACGAAACGGTCTGCTGCACACTCGTTGTTATTGTTACTGTCTTCTTTACCCCACTTACTTCCATTACTGTGAAAATCTCTTCACATCTCTTTTATACCTTACGAAAGTGTTATGAAATTTGAACCAGTCTTTTAAAATAAATATGTGTAATGCGTTTAATCCTTAAACCACACACGAAGGCTAATTTAAGCCCTTGAGCATAAATTGTAAATAAACAGTGTATTAAAAACGTTTTTGTTTGATTGATCGCATGCCTCGTTCTCAGAGTAGGGGAACACAAGTACTGAGGAAAATATGTGTAAACCTAATCTTATTAATTTTCAGTGTCATGAGCGCTAGAACAACGAATTTCTAAGAACAAAAATTGATTTCACATTTTTATAATTTTTTTTTTCTGCAGCAAGTGAGAAAATTGTGTTTTTCATCGTTCTATCTCTGATTATTTCTTCTTTATGGAACTTATCAGTCGCACTATAACCATTTTGTTTACTTTTTTCATAGATCGAAATTAATGTATCTGTGTGAATTCATAAAAAATTATACTTCTCCCCAATATTGTCAGGGTAATTAAGAATGAGATAGGCGGGACATGTAGCGTGCATGGATGGGACAAGAGGTGTGCACCTTGGGAAGCCTGAGGGGAAGAGACCGCTGGGGAGACCTAGACATAAATGGGAGGATAATGTCAGGCAGGATCTATGGGAGATAGGAGTTGAAGGCGACTGGATTTTGTTGGCCCAGGATAGGGAACGTTAACTAGGTGATAACCTTCGGGTTCCCTAAGCCATCTAGTTAGTTAGTTAGTTAGTTAGTTAGTGTGAGTTCATAATCTAAAATTGCCACTTTCGTTTCAGTCCTTTACCTGTTTTATTTCATTTCTCATGAAGTCTGTCACTTAACAAAAACAGCCCGTATTGTCTTGATTTCCGTTAACCACGTCAACATCACGTACGTAGTCCTGACAAGTGAATTCATTCGTGACGTTGATCACAATGCTAACAGAACATCGATTTTTCACATCCCAGTAACATTACGCAGCTCTGCATATCATTTATTGGAGCGTGAAACTGTACAATGAAGTTAATGCATATACAATGTACATATCTGTGGCTTTACGCTGCATACTAATCTGTGTGAACAATAAAACAATTACTAACAAATCAGTGGCCATTGACAGGATTACTAGCCTGATATTGCGATTCTACAGATTACGTAAGCACATGTAAGTTAGTTATACGTTCATAACGGAATTCGTTTTTGAAGTTAATTCGATGGTAAGTAATTTTGTCTACGTCTGCTTACTCTTTTATTGAGGTTAAGATTTTAATACTTAGATGGAAAGGTCATATTAAAGTGAATATAAAGGAAATAGAGTGGGAGATTTTAGAGTTGATTCTCCTGGTTCGGGATAGGGGCCTATGGCGGACGTTTGCTGATATGGTAGTGGCCAAGGGGTTCCATGGAATGTGAGAAATTTTATTACCACCTCAGCGTCTGTCAGCCTTCCAAGGCCTATAATCTGTGATCGTTCTACTAATACTGTCAGAGTGACAAATTGTAATTATAAAATATCACTGTGACGAAATTGTAAGCTTTAATCGTAATTTATCTTCATTTTATCGATAGTACAATAGACACAGGTGTAACATAACTGTAGAAATAGGCTGGGGGCGACGTCTGCATGTGAAATTCACGTCATGACGCCTGTCGTGAACAGTTAAAGAATGGGATCTGTTATGAAATCCTAATACACTTAAAACGAGTAGGCTAATGAATATCGCCTAGATGTCATCTTGTTATATGAATCAAGATTTATATTGCAGAGTATACACATATAAATAAATAATAGACACTTGTTTTGTGTAAATGGAAAGTCGGAGATATTAAAGAATAATCAATACTGAAAGTGTGTTTCGTCACCTGATTCTTTGGTAATTTGATCAAGTCCAGAATAATTGAAATATGCCACCTGCTCTAAAATTTTGCTATTCGTTATAACGCATTTAACAGAATTTTTGTGTAGAACGTCCATAAACATATCGAATGAATTGGTCCAAGCATATAAA